ATTCCCACCAGCAGTGGAGGAGAGTTCCCCTAGTTCCACATCCTCTCCAGCATAAAGTGTCAAAATTGTAAACAATGTTCTCAAAGGTTTTCTTAAAGAGAATCATTTGATAAAACCTTTTAATTGAAAAAGAAATAAGTCTTGAACATTTCCATTGTGGTAATGATGCCAAGGTGATGATAATTAAGTCTATTTATTTAGGCAATTACTTCAAGATTCCTGTCTGTTTTGACGAAAGCTCACAGCCCAGTTCTTTTTGATTTCTAATTATAAACATTTTGTAAATGGAGAAAAATTGATAAACAGTGATATTGTGTACAGAGGTCAGATGGCCTGTGTAATCCCCATGTTTTTATTGTCCTCTTATGCAAATTGATGTGAGTGTTTAGAAGATATTAACCTGGCAATGTATTATCAATTTTAACAAAACAAACATGAATTCTTCCAATACCAAAACCAATATACACCCATCATGTTATTTACAGTCTATTTTAGAACTAAAAGCTTCACTTGAATTAACCACACGCATCTGCTGTCCTTTTATAACCTGTGGGGTTGTTGCTATTATCATTCATATTTTACAGATTAAAAAGAACACATGTTTTTCTTTAGGTTCTTCAGCTAAGGAGTGCTTTGATTTTGTTTACCTGTCCTACTATCCCATTGTCATGCAAAACAGACATTAAACTATTGCTTTTAATGACTAGATGCACGACATTTGTTTCATTTATTGTTTTCAATTTTCTGAATAGATCCTTAATTAAAATGAATATTTTCTTTTTAACCTGAATCCAGATGGTGAGATTAATGAATCTAACATATAATGGAATCCTTTCAAATACCTAAATGGTCTGGCTTTCCCAAGGAATAATTAATGCCTGCTCAAAATTAACCATTGGGAACCAGGCAAATGATATTTCCTACATCGTGGGTACAGCATATAGAGATGATATGGAATACCAGAAAACCAGGGCTAGTGAAACAAATCATATCAAACTTATTTGAAAAGAGATATTTCTTCTGCCACATTTCTGAAGCCATAAAGTCAATCAAGGTATCAGAGCACTCACTACCTTCAGACCAGTTCAAGGGAAAGTCTGTTCCAAACATCTTTGTTTTTTTTTTCCTGCCTCTCAGAAATGTCCAGATTCCCTTGACTTATAATAACATCAATTAACTCTGTGCTGCCAATGATACATATCCTGCCTCCCTGTCTCTCTTTATGCATTTGTGTATCTTCCGTTATGTTTTTATAAGTACACTTGGCTTTGAGACACGCTCTAAGTCTCTAATATTGTCCTCTCAAAATGCTTTGGTTGCGTCATCGAAGACAGTTGCATTAGATAAATGGGACACCATAGGACTAAAGGAATGTTTCTTTGAGAGAACAGCTTTTCAACAGTGCGATAAACATCCACTCACATAATTTATTCTCCTCACTAACTTGATTAAAGTCATAAGACAAATCAAAACATCAACAGTCATCATGAACTTTCCTGGTTAGACTTGCCTGAGCTTTTCTATTTCCTTCTCCATTTCATCTCTTCAACATATAAAATAAGTTCTATTCAGACTTCTAAACTCTGACTGTTTATCAAATGGTACTATTCAGAATTGTGATTCCTGACTCCAATGCCAATCACTTCACTTGCCTGGAATTCTTCTTACTATGGACAGATATCTGATCACCAGCGTGATTCAGTAGCAGTCAACCAGAGGAGAAGAATGGAAAAGAGAAGGGAAAGGTGGGTATGTCTTTTGAGTTAAACAGACAAGAGATTAGCCACATGGTGGCAAGCAACATGGTGGCTGAAATGTGGGAGAATTATACAAAGAATGAGGTAGTCTAAAGTGTCAGAAAAGGTGTATTTTAGGTCATGACCAGCAACTGAGAGGTGGGGTGGAGATGAAAAAGTTGTACTTTTCTTAGTTAGAATTCAGAAGGATGAACAGATCCATCCCTCTCACATAGCTATTCCTAGAACCATGCTAGGGACAGGGATTCTGGGGAAGGAAAGTACAGTTCTCCTTAAAGAGATGCCTATTCTACCTAGCTTAAGGTGGCCCTGCCTTGCTGAGAGGTGGCAGTTAACCCAGTTATAAACCTGCTTCTCCTTGAAGAGCAGTCAATGCTGATTTTCACTGACATCCACATTTTTTATCTGATAACAGGCTGTGCTCCTGTCCATAGTGAGAAACAAGTTGTTCTGGGTACAGAGATGGAGCAAATAGCACAAATCTTGAAAAACTATTGAGGTTGAAAACTATTTCATTCCTTTTGATGTTATTGTGTGGAAAGACAAGAGTAGTGTGTTCCTATAGGGAACTCATGTCACAGTTGCCTTGATTCTGTCTGTAAATATCAAGTGTTAGTCTAAAAACTCAATCTTATAATATTTTATACTACAATCTTCCCTAAAATTATTCTATACATTTCCTAATAATTCAAGATTTCTTAGTGTTTATTTAATCAACATTTTTAGATATACTTCGTATGCTATTCTAAATATTATGCATATTTTCTGGGCTAGTAATTCAAATCTGAAAGACTATCTAGAAAATGAATATCATATAAAAAACATATTGAATTGGCATAAAGATATTCTAGTGAGAGAAAAATTTAGAAGAATTTAAAATTATTTATTAAAAAATTATAAGTTCAATACAAGCCATATTGAATGTCTGTTGTTATAAGGTCAAAAGTTTTCTGATCTAATATTTTATTTTTGCATGTTAGGGTCTGGCAAAATGAACAGGAAGAACCTGGTAACTGAATGAACTCTGGAAAGTGCAGTATTGCTACTAATGAAAATTTGGTGACAGAGGAACTGTCATATTTGTTACTACATATATAAAATTGAGTTGACCAATGAGGATCTCTGAACACTTTTATCCTAAACTCTATCCAATAGTTTAGTATAACTCATTTCAGAAAATATCTCAATAAAGTGGCTTAATGTCAAAAAACTAAGTAGGCCTGAATGCTGGAAGGAAATATATAGTTGATATATTTGCCTAGAGACATTGCAAACGACAGCATGTAAGTGGGGAAATTTACCTGGCTGACATGGAAACAAATAGACATAGAATTAAGTGACTTTGATTTCAATTAAACGAATTCCAGGAAGCTGCAAAACAGGATTGCTTTCTTTTCAGTCAACTTACCTTGTTCTATGGGTTGAAGATCTATCTTAGTGGTAAAGTGCTTGACTAACAAAAGCAAGAATATGAATTTGATTCCTGGCATTTAAAAAAAATAGCAGTTCTCGTATAATTTACACATGATCAATTGTACTTGAATAAAAATCTGTGCATACTCCACAACCAACACCAAAATCTCAACTTCTCCAAGCCAAACTAAGTGTAGATCTCACAGAGGGTTATTTGTCTCTCTTTGCTATCACAAGATCAAGCTCTCGCTGCAGATAACCTCTCATCTATTTTCTGTCTCTAAACATCAGCTTTCTCTATTCTGAATTTTTAGACAGACTCATCTGAGATAAACTTCTTGTATGATTTTCTTCTCAACAGAATGCTTTTGAGACACAGCTGCTTGGCTGCTCCTATCACTTTCGGTTGCTGAATAGCAATATACATCATGTGAATGAAATACTTGCTCTCTGCACATCTGCTGATGAACACATAGATTATCCAAGTCTTGCAGCAATTCTGAAAAAAAAAAAAGACATGCTGTGGGTCTGTATGCGGAAATTATTTCTTGACACATATTTTGAAATCTTTAGTAAAATATGGCAGGTTACATGGTAACTCTGTGCTTAACTTTAAAAACTGAAAGTCAAATGTCTCTATTTGCATATGATACCATAAAAATTCCTTTGGGAAACTACTATAGCTGATAAAAAATTTTCATCAAAGTATTTGGATACAAAATTAACTCAGAAAAATCAGAAACATTCTATATACAAATGGCAAATAGAAAAAGAAAAAAAAAACCTTTCTCAATAGGCTCAAGTAACATAAAATATCTTGGGTAAACACTAACCAAGCAAGAGAAAGACTTGTATGATAAAAACTTCAAGACATTGAAGAAAGAAATTGAAGAAGACATTAGAAGATAGAGCTTTCATGTTCATGGATCAGTAGGATTAATATAGTAAAAATGGCTATTCCCCCAAACTCCACAGATCTTGAAAGGAAAATCTTCAGCTTTAATCGGAAACACATACACACAAAAACAAAAAAACAAACAAATAACAAAACACAAGATAGCTTAAACAACCCTGAATAATAAAAATAACGCTAGAAATATCACCATCCCTGATTTCAAATTGCACCACAGAGCAATAGTAATAAAATCAGCATGACATTGGCACAAAAACAGACACAACGATCAATGAAAATATATTGAAGGTACATACATAAAGCAACACATCAGTGGACACTTGATTTTTGATAAAGAAGATGCAATACACACTAGAAATAAAAGAAAATTTTCAACACATGGTGCTAGCCAAACTAGATGGTTGCATGTAGAAGAACCCAAATCTATTGATCCATAATTATCACCCTGGACAAAATCATCTCCAGTGAATCAAAGATCTCCACATAAAAGCAAATAACTGAACCTGATAGAAGAGAAGGTAGGAAACTCATCAGCATAAGAAAAGACTTTCTAAACAGAATACCATTAGCACAGGCACTAACAATTAAAATGAGACATCATAAAGCTGAAAAGTTTTGTACAGCAAAAGATACCATCATTCAGATACTGTAACAGCCTACAGAATATGAAAATATTTTTAACAATTAAATAAAAGCATATCTAATAGAGTGCTAATATCTAAAATATATGTAGAACACAAAATTAAATATCAAGAAAATAGATAATCCAATTTAAAAAGGGAATACAGATCTAAGAGGGAATACTCATAAGAGGAAACTCAACCTTCTTCCTCAACAGGGAAATGGAAATCAAAACTATTTTGAGATTTAATTTTACACCTGTCAGAATGATTAAGGTCAGTTACACAAGTGACAACCCCTGATGCAAAAGATGTGGAGTAAGGATAACACTCATATATTGTTGTGAGTGTGGAGCTTCCTTGGAAAGATGAGAATCGATCTTCCTCCAGATTCAACTGTACTGCTCTTGACATATACCCAAAGGTCACTTCAATGTATCACAAGGAAATTTATTCAGACATGTTCATTAGTGCTCCATTTATAGTAGCCAGAATTTGGAAAACAAAACAAAACAACTTAGATATCCTTCAACAGAAGAATTGATGAAGAAAATGTGGTACATTTATACAATAGAATATTACTCAGCTGTTTAAAAAAATCATGAAATTCACAGGTAAATGAATGGAACTAGAAAAATAATCATCCTAAGTGAGATAACCCAGACTTAGGGAAAGAAATATGTGAATATTAGCTCTTAAATCAATCACATCCAAGCTACAATCTGTAGAACCTGAGAGATTCGACACAGAGTAAAGGTCTATTGGGGGCACAGTTAGGACTCTTTATGAAAGGGAGGTAGAGAGTGTAAGAGCACGAAGGGGTGATGACTCCAAGAAAGCAAGGCCCCTCTATATAAACATTATCAGTCCACACATGAATTCATAGTGAACAAGGCAGTATGCACAGGATCTACATGGGTTTGTAGCAGTTAGAGTTGAAATAATAAGAGTACACATTCCCCCATTCTTAGCCCAGAAGCAATCTTTAATTGATAACCACTTGCAAATGTAAATTTATTTTCCTTCAAGGGAGCCAGAGAATCTGATTGGGACAACAAACTACTTAAATGTCAACTGCATGCTAGAAGTCTTTGAAGGTTCCTTGTCATAATGTCATGCAAGAGTTCAAATTTTTTTTTTAAATTGAATCTTAACTTTTTTACTCAATTTTATTTTATTCATATATTTTTTTTCTTCTCTCGATTTACCCTACAGGTATTTGGGGCATGTATTATGGCTTCCAGTTTAGTGTTTTTGTGGGATTCCTGGGTGTGCAAACAAAAGGGTCTTTGTTTCTTGTGCCTTCTCATGGTCTCTTTCTTTCTGTTTATTTATTTTGTCCCATTCCAATGTGTTGGTTTTTGTTGTATCTTAATATGTTATATTTTATTTCTTTGTTAGCCCATGGAAGCCTGTTTGTTGTCTAATACCATCATTATTGGAAAATTGGAACACCTGGATGGGAGGACAGTTATGGGGGGGGGGGTGAAAGGAGTAGTGGGAAGGAAAAACTATAACTACGATATATTATGTGAAAAAAAAATCTGTTTTCTATAAAAAGAAAAATAAAAGATTTGGAAGGAAAAGAAATCTGCCTATCGTATATGCTTTTCAACCCTATGTCTATGATGTATGAAAGAGTCTTTGTTTCACTTTTTTTTTTTTTGCCAATGTAGGATTTTTTTTTTTTTAATTTAAAAAGTTTTCTGGTAATGTTGAAATTTACCCGGAATTTATGATTTCCCAATAGTGATGCTGTGGAATTTTTCTCCTCTTTTCACTACCACTGGTAACAGTGAGAAACCCAAGAACTTGTGCAACTCAGACCATTAATCAAGGTGTGGGGGGCAACATGCAAATGTGGTTTATTCTTTATTGTCCACTCATCCTGGCATCATTCAGTCTTCAAATCTGCAATAGGTAGTGGCTCCAGGGATACAGGGTTTATTATTTCTGACATTCAGGTTGAAATTATAGCTCTGGTAGTCATGTCCCATTCTTGATATCAGAGGAATATTAAACCTTTTTTATTTGTGGTGCATCCTCTAATCACCCACTCTACCTTGTCAAAAGCACTCATTGTGTTGGGTTTAGCAGGGGTGACCTGCAGTGCGAAAACAGGTCCCAAACCTATGTCCTCTGTAAGAGCTGCACGTTCTCGTAACCGAGGCACAATCTCTCCAGTCCCTAGGCAGTACTGATAATTTATGTTATATGATATATCTCACAGAGGGTAAATCTAGTACATAAAAATAAGTAGCAAAATGTGCAGTGATAACCACGATGGTGATAATGGCAGAAATATCTAACTACATTGGCCTTACAATGGGCCGGGAGTTTTGCACGCTTTTCAAGTACTTTATATTCAGGACCCAAAAGAATCTTCATCACATTTCCATGTAATAAGGACTGTGATTGCACAACAGGCAATTGATATTAGAAAACCATAGTGACTGTTCAAAATCCAAAGCTATGAAGTAACAGAGGTGAGGACAAGACCTAAAAAACATGATGAATTAAATAAAAGTTTACTATATACATCTGTCATCTATGTGCAATATTGTGTGGATCAACAAAATTACTTTAATGGCATTCTGTTTGCGGTTGAAACCACAGTTTTTATAAACAATGATATCTATTTTTTATTTTTAAATCCTTTTTGCTGTTTGCTTGTCTGTTCTAAATATTTTTCTTCCTTTGTATCTGATTTTTATTTCTCCTACCACTAATGCAGTAAGAATCTCAATTGCCACTTGTGGAATATCTTGAGGTGTTTTATAATGCTTTGTTGTAAATCATGGTATCTGATATCCTTGATCTACATAATTTCCTCCCATTGTGGCTCTCATCTTTAGCTGCATGACTCCTGTCTTAGCCATATAATTTGATATGACCAAGGAGGCATCACACTGCACACTGTTGTAAGCTGAGCATCCAAATCAATCACTCTTTTCTATAAATTTGCAACCATGTTAATAGATGATCAAAGCTACTCACTAGATGGGAAAAAAGACATTGGGACCATTCTGAGAAAGATGTCTAGTCATTTTAACTCACTGAGCACAGTTCCCAATAGAACCAAAATGTGCAACCAGACATAAATCAAACTTCAGGGCAGACAATTAAGAGAACTATCTATCCAACACAAAGTTATGTGAGACAAATATATGCAGCAATTTATAACTTAACCAGTAAGCAAACCATGGTGTTCCTAAGGGGATTTTGCTTTTATTGAAGACAAAAAGAAATCATTATAGACTTATGCCATCCATATTGTCTTTGTTCTTGTATAAATCCTGACGATCGCAATCTACACTGCAGGAAATAATAGCTTTGTAACAAAGCACAAAATGCTCAATTACCCCACACTACATAGAAATTACTAAATTAAATAGCCTAATTTATACAAGTCCTGGGAACTTCTTTTGAGGGGATAATGCAAAAATACACTGTAAATTATTGTCAGCAATGATCATAAGTGTTTGGATGTTTGACATATTTTTTCTCATTCTTGACCATTCCAAGACATTTGACTTAAGTCAAATCAGAGAAAAAGCATTTAATTGTCTACTGACTTAATGCTGCAGTAATCTGCTATTTCAATAAGTGATTAATCAGAATAGTGAGGTAGTCATACCATGTTTAGATTGTGTCATGTAGTCTAGACACTAATATATCTCCACATTTCTTTTATCAGGAATGAGATGACTATTGCTAATGACCCTACATCATTATACATTTAACACTAGACTGCTAGGTACATTTTTTTCCCAAGGAAGTCATATAATCCTTTTGAAACCAGAGTGAAATAGCTGAGACTATTAATGCATAAGATACTGCATAGTCAAGTGTTAAAATTTAGGAACCTCTTTTATTTATTATTATTCCACCTTAGCTAACATTTGGCATTGTAGGTAGTATGGAAGCAACACTAGTAAGGTTTGTCCTATTACTTTTTCTCTTCCC